CTCTCAATGGGGGATACACATCCACCAATGACAGAGCCTTGGCATGGAGAAAAGCAATTGGTGCGAAGGAGAAAATTATTCAATCATATTTTATTTCATTTGATGAGGTTAATGATGAGATCATTATTAAGGAGGAAGAGATTAGCAATAAGAAAATTAATGCAATCCAACATGAACGTCCAAGTGTTGGAGAGGGAAAGAAAATACAAATTTTAAAGGAACCACTACAGTCACAACACACGGGGGAAAGAAATGGAACTCATAAAATGAAGAAAGAAACAAGAAGTGATGGTTCAACTTTGATTATTAGACTATGTGGCATAATGAAAGAAAAAAGCAGGAGGGTCGTGTGTGGTACTAAAAGGAACAACTGGGAGAAAATAATTGATGAGAGGGATGCGAGGGATTTAATTAGGGGTTTTTTATACTAAAAATGACATTCATTCATTCAAATTGATAGAATACATCGAATAATACAAATTCAAATCACTATAAACTAAAAGGATGAATATACGAACAAACTCATAACACCTATGTTAATAGCATACAACGTGAAAATGCCTACAAATGTGCCAAATCCTATAAATATTATGAAATTGAAATGCTCAGAATACCCATGTATGTGAGTCTGTAACGTTGAAGACGTCAAATTCATTGGTTGAATGAAAGGAATACGTATGAAAATCCAGAGAAGACAGAGACCATTAATGGTCCTCAGGTACTAGCTTGGCCCAAAAGAAAAGAAGGCACAAAGGTTTAATGATACATCTAGTAAGGATCATGAAAGATTAGCTCCCAATTCTCTAGCCTTGAAAATTCGCTTGGAAGAACCAATGTATGGAGGAAAAGGGAAGGCAGCTGAAGATCATGGGGAGACGATGGAACAGGGAATTAACTTAGATATGGACATTGTTGAAAAAACCCCGAGCCAATGTTGGGGGGTTGTGATACTTTCTCAATAATTTTTTATGGATAGTGACAAACTTAAAATTTTCAATTTGGAACTACAAAGGAGCTGCAAACAAAGCTCTTTTTTTTTACATGTTTGTAAGTGATACATTTGTGAAAGCCATCCAGACATGTTTCTTATTATGGAAACTAGAATAGACCCAGAGAAACTTTACAAGCCTTTTAAGCAATTAGGGTTTGACCATTATGATTTCTCTGATATTCATGGATTTGCAGGAGGTATATCAGTGGCTTAGAAATCAGATAAAGTTCAACTTATGATGTTGGAAATTTTTTCCAATTTATGCATACAAGAATATGTCATGGGAATTGTAACGATTGGTTCTTCTTTCCATTCTATGTTATCCCCCGAAAAGATTGAAATAAGGAGTTATTTGATGAATTAAAAAGAGTTGATATATCAATAAATGAAGGTTGGCTTTTAGGAGGAAACTTTAATTATTTAATGGTAATAGTAGAAAAAAGAGGAGGAAACCCGACTTCTAGAAGAAGAAGCAAGAAATTCAAAGATAGGATTGATTTCTACAACCTGATGGATATGCACTCTATTGGTCACAAGTTTACATGAAGAGGAAACATATCTCATCGAGGCATGCGTGTGTATGAGCGACTAGATAGAGCGTTATGTAACAATACACAGAAGCTTCAATTCCCTGATTCCCAAGTTAGAGTTCTGAATATATTGGAGTTTTCTGATTAGCACCCTATACGTGTGACACTTAAGAATATGGAAGATAGGATAATAGCCCAAAATTTCAAATTTGAATGCACTTGGATCTTATAAGACACATATGAGGAAATGATTAGATATGTTTGGAGTATAAATAATAGTATCTTGAATAATGTAACTAGATTCAAACAACATGTGTTTAGCTGGAAGATGCATACTCTCCAAAGTACCCAAAAGAAGAAAAAATATCTCATAGGAAGATTAAAAGTAATCCTTACAAAATTTCACAATGGTAAACTGCACAATGGTTTATAGAGGCTGGAAAGATAAATCCAAAAGTATATAGCAAAAATTCTCCATGAAGAAAAGTTAGTCTGGTATCAAAGATCAAGAGAGAAAAGGCTAGTGGATGGTGATAGGAATACACAATACTATCACAAAAAAGCAGTGCACAAAAGATTGTAAAAGAAGATTATGATGATTAAGATGCTAATAGAGCGGGGGTTGATGATGTTGAGAAAAAAAACTAACGACATATATAAGAAGTTGTATACTTCGAATATCACCCCTTCAATTTGGTTTCATATTCGGATTTTATATCCAAGATTAGAAGAAAACAAGATCAATAAGCTAAATGAATAATTAAAAGATAAGGAAATCAAGTATGCAATGTATGTTATGACTCCTTGGAAGACACCTCGTCCTGATGGTTGTCCGGTTAAGTTTTATCAGAACTCGTGGACTATGGTAAGAGACAGTGCCTATCGCTTCATAAAGAGCTTAGGGGAATCCAAATGATATTGTTAAGATAAAGTGCACTAATCTTTGTTTGATCCCAAAAGTTCCTAACCCCCAGTATTTAAATCAATTTCGATCATTTTCTCTATGCAACTTGATTTACAAAGTCTTAAATAAATTTATTGTAAATAGTATTAAGGATTTAATAGATAAATTGGTGTCTCCTTATCAAACAAGTTTTATCCCTGGAAGGTGCATACATGAGAATATTATAGTAGCTCAGGAAATTTTTCATAGTATTAATCAATTGAACAAGAAGAAGAGTTTCTTTGCTACCAAGAAATATCTAGCCAAAGTTTATGATATGCTAAGTTGGAGCTTTGCTGAAAAAACCATGACTAATGTAGATATTCCCATTAAACGCAAAGAAGTTATTATGCATGCAGTCATATAAGTAAAAATTAGTGTTGTTTGGAATGAGGAACATGATGAACAGTTTAAACATCTGAAGGGATTGAGGAAGGGAAACTTCATCTATCCTCATCTCTTTGTGCTTTGCATGAATAAAGTGCCCCAAATGATAATAGAAGTAGAGGTATATGACAAATAAGAAAGTATGAAAACTAGGAAAAGAGACCCTCTCATTTCTCATCTAATATTTGTTAATGATCTGCTGTTGTTTGGTAGAGCTCCTGAAAAACAAGTAGACTGTGTGATGGAGGTCCTTGAGAGATTTTTCTTAATGTCAAGTCAGAAGTTCAACCATGAGAAGTCCAACATTTTATTTTCAAGGAACACTTTAATTCATAGTAGAAGGAACCTAATTCATTTATCCAAGTTTAAGGGGGCTAATTACTTAGTTAAATATTTAGGTATTCTCTTTATAAGAAGGAGTCTAAGAACTAAGGACTATCAGTATATTATAAAGCAAGTCAAATCAAAATTACCCAGATGGAAAGGCAAGAAATTGTCGTTTACAGGTAGGGTCAGCTCTTCTCTTATTTTATAGGTGCCCTTAAAAAAGTATGAAGAACAAATACCATACAACCAACAACTCCATGTGAGCTCCTCTAGATCTCACTTAAGCCCCGACTTGGGCCTACCCGATGAATATTTCCCAACCGACCCAATATACCTGCAACCATCACATGGATGTAGCACTCTACAAACATATGTCTACCGAACTCCACAAGATTCATTTCCTATTTATCCCTCTTATTCAACTGACTAGTGCTATCGACCATCCATTCAATCTATACTCTCATCAACACAACCAAACTTTGAGAACATGACTAACTGACTTTTTGAAAGCGGGTATTCAGGATTTGATGATCTGACGAATTTCATAGAGCCTGAACGCATTAACCTCGCACGACCCTTAACTCAACCACAAGAAAAAAATCATAGAGTCACACAACGAGTTAAGAGAAGACGTGGATGCGGAACTACTAGTTGTTATTAACTACTGAACGACAATTAAATTATATATAATTTTTATTTTCAAAATGTAATTGTTTTATTAAATTAAAAATCTTAGTTTTTTTTTTTAAATTTTATTTATAAATTGGTTATTTAAATTATAAAAAAAAATTACATTACACCTAAGCGCCATATCTAAAACCGGGTTATTTGCGTAACTTTTTTGAAAAAAAATCCATTTTAAAAAGTGAAAAGTAAAAATGGATTTAAAAACTGAAAAAATAAAAATAAAATCAGAAAATAGTATTTAAAAACAAACTTTTCAAACAATTCATTTCATTTTTTATAGGGGTAAATATGTTTTTGATCCTTATAAATATCTCAAATTTCATTTTTAATCTCTATTAAAAAATGATAAATTTTGGTTCCTAAATTTTTTTTGTTCATCTAGTTTTAGTCCCTACTATTTTCTAAAATTTTAAAAACTGTTTAATTACCCTTAAACTTTTAAATTTTTGAATAATATTTTCCATACGTGTTTAGAATACTATAAAATGTTTCTTTATCAAATTTTAAATTTTTTTAAAATGAAAAGAATTAAATATAATTTTTTTAAATTTCAAAAGATATTGATAAAAATAATGAAAATCTCGATTTAGAAATCAAATTTTAAATTTCTTTTTTTTCAAAATTTTTTTTATAACGTTCTATACATGTCTACAAAATAATCATTTAAAAATAGACATTGATTTAACAACAGAGACTAAAACTACGTACATAATAATTTTGTAAGGACTAAAATTTGTCATTATTTTAATAGAAACTAAAAATAAATTTTAATATATCTATAAAGATAAAAAACATATTTAACTTTTTTTTTTTTATATATTCTCTTAAAGTAAAAACTGTTATTGAGAAAATTTAAAAATAAAAAAAAATAAAAAAAAAAGGTGTGTGAAGGTAAACGAGTAGCGTTGAATTGAATAGGCGCATGCATTAATTGAAAATACAATTCAAGTTTGCGTTTGTGTAGCGAATGAATTAAAACGACTAGTCGTATCGTATGGTGCTTTGCTGTCTATCGTCTTCCAATCTGGACCGCAAGTATTCAATTCACAAAACACCAAACTCTCATGCTTCTTCTTGTTTTTCTTTTTTCAAATTCGAAAGTGCAAAGCAAAGAATATAATAATACAACAAAATCATGGGCACTGTTATTGACTCTCATTTCTTAGCCCTCACTGCCATAATCACCGTAACTCATTTAACTCTCTACATTCATCATTAATGTTAATTAATCTTGTATTATTTAACTAATTCTTTCTTTCTTCAGATTTTTTATCAGCTTCTGTTTTTCATAATCACTGCACTTCTCAAATTCGATAAGGTCACTGATTTTGCAGGTACCTACTTTCTTCTTCTTCTTCTTCTTCTTCCATAACCATTTTCTTTTTTTGTTTGCATAATTCTTCATTTCTATAGGAAGTACCAATTTCGTTATACTCGCTGTTTTGACCTTACTTCTCAAAGGCTCATGGCATTTTCGTCAGGTAATTCTAACATCACCACTTTCATTTTCGATTCTATTTACCTTATTAACCCTATGAATTCACTCTTTTTTTCAGATTATTCTCACTCTTTTTGTTGTATTATGGGCTCTTCGCCTCGCTTTTTTTCTCTTACTCAGGTACTTCAAATTATAGGGTTTCATGAATTTCTACACTGCATACTTCACTTTCTGAATGTTTGTTTTCTAGTTTATTTCATTTCTGAATTTCCCTTTTCAGGATTTTACAGTGGGGAGAGGATCGCCGTTTTGATGAAATGCGCAATAATTTGGCCAAGTTGGCTGTGTTTTGGATGTTTCAGGTCTCGTATGATTTTCTCATCTTTGGTTTTTAAGATTTAGTATGCTGCTTTTCTTTTTTAATTTCATTTTCTTGCAGGCTCTCTGGGTTTGGGCTGTGAGTTTACCTCTTACACTGGTTAATGCAAGCGATAGAAATCCTTTTCTAAAGCCCGTGGATTTAATTGGGATGCTTATGTGGGCTGTGGGTTTTATGATTGAAGCTACCGCAGATCAACAAAAATTGAGTTTCAAAAAGTCTTCGCAAAATAGAGGCAACTGGTGCAATGTTGGACTCTGGCAATATACTCGCCATCCTAACTATTTTGGCGAGGTTAGTTTGTTATTACTTTCAAATCTTTTGAGCAGGGCCGTCTTTAAAGGCGTGTAAGATGGGCTACCGCACAGGGCCTCTCTGAGACAAGTAAATCCTGCCATCCAGGGGATGGTTGAGTAACCTCTTTTCGTGGGGGGTGGAAAAACTCTAGCAGTTAGTTCATTAGAAACAAAACTATCGGGTTTGTAAAGGGATCCCCTTGTACAGTTTTAAAGCATTTGAAATCTATTATGCTTAGACATTATCTGGACAAATAACGGATCTTATGACTTGCTAGCTCCTACACTGTGTAGTAGTTTTTGTCTAAATCTGGACATGGTTTTGGTGAAATCCCTGAATAAGCTTTTTTTTTATATTTTTTATGTTGATGTCTCCATAGAATAAAATTAAGTGATTATTTTATTTTTCCTTTTTGGTGATTGGCTAATGGTTGGTAGAAGAGGTGTTTCATTTTTCTAATACATTTCTTATTTTAGTAAAAAATGTATTGTAAAATATTAATCAAGCTTCATAAATGCTTAATTCAGATATTGCTTTGGTGGGGAATTTTTGTGGCATCTACACCTATACTGAAGAAAGCTGAATGGCTGGTAATCATCGGACCAATCTTTCTCACACTGTTGCTTCTTTTCGTCAGTGGCATTCCACTGCTCGAGGTTTGCTTCTTACCTTTTATTTGGTCAAAATTGTGATGCAATTTTGTCGCTTTTCTAATGATGAATTGCATAATGGAGGCAGGAATCAGCAGACAAGAAGTTTGGCAACCTGGACGGATATAGGGTATACAAACAAAGAACCAGGTAAGCTCACCTCTTCCTTGTCATTACATATTTCAGTGTGTCATTAAGGAGAAACAACTAAGTCAAATCTTTTTTTCAGCCCTTTAATCCCATTGCCACCAGGAGTCTATGGAAAGTTACCTGCATGGTTCAAATCAGGTTTTCTCTTTGAATTTCCACTCTACAGTCGTAATTTTCCACCAGAAGAACAAATTTGGTGAGGGGCAATTCTTATTTCACTCTTATAACCTTTCTGTCTGCAGAACTGTTCTGTTCTATTCTGCCATTTTTGGGTTCATGAACACAAGTATTTGTATTTATCTCAATATTTGTCATTGTGTTAACAACTTATCAAATAATGTTTATTAGAAAGAAAATTAGTACTATTGAGATTTTCACTTTTGATTAGATTCATGACTGCTCTATGTATTAGAAGTTTAGAACAGTCATTAAGAACAAGATAACAATACTTTTAAGCTTGTTGGTTATTCCATCCTAGTGTCACAGACCGTTCAGATTGTGTAAAACCCGAAAGTTACCACAATCCACATCGAGGGTGAGGAAAACCTCTCAATAATGCAGCATCGTCATCTAGCCTTTATGCTTCCTTGCTTAGTACTTTCTGTGTTCAATTATAAATTTGGTTCAGAACCTTGCATGTCTATATCATCGAAGTGTCTGACTACCATAATATGGAATTGAGAAGGATCGAATTTTAATGTCTCCAAATGTTAAATAATCTTTGAATGCTTTAAAATTTCTATTTATTAAATGTAAGTCTCGATAAATGGTATTGAATTATTTACTGTTTGCTCAAGGTGTAGAACAAGCAGTGGGAAAAGCAGCGATACTTTGAAAATTGAGTAGTTCTCTTGCATCACACTAAAGTTATAGTTGCCATCGTTGTCTCTGTCGCTGTTAGGAATTTCCTTTGGGGTTTTTTTAAGGCCATGTAATGTTGTTGCAACTTGCAACTTTTCTTCTTGTTTTTATCCCTTTAACTTGGTTCTTTTCTTGTCTTTGATATATACTTTATGCAACTGTGCAGGAAACTAGATCATTTCTCTATCAGTAATTCTTCTACTGCAATTATCATTTTGGGCCTGCATTGGCATATATTTAACTCAAATGTTTTTCACACGTGACTTTTTTTTAATTCTTTTGCTATATTAAATTTTTTTAATATAATATTTTTATGAACATATGCTGTTTGTTAGTTATATTCTAATTACAAACTGGCATTCTTAATGCTTGTTATCAGAATGCAAATAAGCTGATTGGTGAATGAAGGAAAGTATCTTGGGGTTGTTTCTAAAGTATACTTACGGACCAAAAAAACACAATTTTCATGTCATACTTCTAGTAAAAAATACAATTTCTCTCTTGTTTTTTTAGTGTATTTCTAAACGTGTTTTTTAAAACAAAGTGAGGTGTGAAAAGATACGTAACTTTTATAATTTAGAGTAAACACCAATTTGGTATAAAGATTTTCAAAACAATATTTTCATTGCAGATGAACAACGTCAAATTTGTTTTAAATATAACTATTAGTTAGAAACAATAATTTATTTTAGTCAACCTATACCATTAAAGAACTAATTTTATACGATATTCTTGAGGTACAATCATGCCTTTAAAATAGATTTCACAAAGGAAGCAATTTTATTCCGCTCTTGTTATTGAAGAACTTGTTTGTTCATAAAGCGTGCATCCAAACCATACAGTTTATCGAAAAATATGTATCTAAATGGTATAGCATAAATTTCACAATTTTTTGGATGTGTTAAGGGTGAGAAAAACCATGTTAGAACCACGTTGTAAAACATGAGAATAATTTGAGAGGATCATTGTTTGTGTAAAAGAATTTGTCTATTCTTCCATGAAGCCAGAGACTTCCAGTTCTGATTTGGCAGAAAAAGAATCATGGTACATGAACAAATGAAAATAACCAGGCACAACACTTACTATGACAGCAAGTGTGATTCAGTAAAATAGACTAAAGCCTTATGCCTCCCGAAAATGTATTAGGAGAACTGAAATTAAGGAACTGAAGTTACTTTCACATCCACAATAGATCTATTTATTATCTTAGTAAGTATGCACCATTGTCCCGAGCATGCTATACAAACAACAACAACTAAGTCTTATCCTACTAGGTGGGATCGGCTACATGGATTAATTTTTGCCATAATTTTTCATCAAGGACCATACTTCTGTCCAAATCATTAATCTCGAGATCTATTTTAATAACTTCTCTTATAATAAATACAAACAATGTAAATAAATACAATAAATGAATATTCTATTTTAATCCTGCCTCCTCACAAACCAGTTCACCGAACCACAATGCTATTCTTCTCAAGGTGTATATTTATATTATTTACAAGAAAGACACTGAAAATAATTCAAACCTATTTCGTGCTTCTCAACTTTCGATGTATATGATTTATTCCTGGTTTTTATTATAAGCATGTTTTGTTGCTCGATGAGACTCCAAGCAGCTACTAGTCAAAAAATTAAACAAACATGATTCTGGATGTTTTTTGTTAGTCCAACTGCAAATCTGCTAGCTAATGCTCACATATCTCCAGCTAAGACCATAAGACAATGCACTGAATCTTCACAAGTTCCACGGATAAGAAATCAAGTAATCTGATCAACCGAGAAAAACATTGTAAATATTGGTAAGAAGAAACTCAGAATCCTAAGAGAAAAACAATCAATGTTCTCTTAAGAGAGTATGAAGGAACATACACTTCTCCAGAGAGTATGAAGGATCACAGGGACTTAGCTCACAAGCAAGAAACTTGCTCAGACGTCAGAGTCAAGTGAACCTACAAGTAAATAGCACATCACATGTATCATAACAAATCCAATTCTCAGGTTTTAGTTTACGGGGATGAAACATGTAAAAATCATAAGATGCAAGGCTCCGGATTCGTTATCTAGTTGAAATCAATCAAAAACAGCATTTACTAGATTAGAAAAAGGGAAAACGCGGGATTGAATAGAGGTTATGAGAAAAATGGAAGCAGGTAAGTCTACCAGATTGAAAGCCAGAATTCGTAGGGAGGAATATAGTGTAACTCTGGTTCCTTCTCTTGTCTCCAATCAACCATTGAACACAGAAAATCTGATATTTGGCATTGGACAGTTATATTCTGCTTGCATAACCGTTTCGGCCTTCACACTCAGGATTGGCCAACACATGTAAATCTTGACTTGCTTTAGTTGTCATGTGAAAATAGAACATGAATGACAAGTTCAGTGGTCACAGATTCCCTCCCTGTTCGCACATCAACCTGTCAGGGTTTCTCATCGTTAAAAAGGTTTCCATTTAGATGATAAAACCAAAGAAAACTCGGTAATTTGCCAATATGTCAGATCACAAAGGATCTAAGAGGTAAGAGTTAATCCAGGAGCGAAAAAAGAGAACCGATTTCTTGTTAAAAAGGCATAGTAGGTGTACATACACATTTTCTAAGCATTTACAGAGTGTGAAAGATAATAGATTATAGAAGCATAATCCAAAATGAAGCTGAAGTTACTGTCCAAAAGCAAGTAAATAAATAAAATGGAACTAAAGTATCTGACCTTTTTTCAATATTTACCAGACCTCTCTCCATCATTTCATGACGAAGTTTCTCTGCCTTTTCGGTCTCATTTTTCTTGAGCAGTGCACCAATAATTGTATCAAAAGTTACAGCATCAGGGAGGCAATCATTGGTATCCATTTTTGATAGTAAGAGTGTAGCTTCATCAAAAGAGCCATCTTTACAAAGTGCATTGATCAATATAGTATATGTTCGGACATTTGGAGGACAACCATGCACCAAAAGGTATTGAAGAGCATCTTCTGTAATCTTCAACTTTTCACCTTTGCACAAATTGTCAACAATTACATAGTTTGTGTAAAAATCAGGCCAAATTCCTTGAACAATCTTCCAAAATAATGAGATTGCCTCGTCAAAAGGCCGGGTTTTACATAACTCATCTAACAGTATATTGTAAGTGACTACATCTGGGGGTTGACCACTATCACGCATTTCATCAAGAAGTTCCTTCACATGTGGTATTCTGCCCAAATTGCAGAAACCATCGATAAGAGAATTGTAAGTAGCAATACTAGGGACTAAATTTTTACGACACATCTCTTTAAAGAGAACCATAGCTTCATCAACCATATCTTTCTTGCAATAACCATTAATCAAGACATTATAATTAAATACATCAGGTTCCAAGCCTCTTTTGACCATCCTATTGAATAGTTCTTTAGCCTCGGTAAAACTTTTTCTCAAACAATACCCATCCATCAGAGCATTGTAAGTAATAATATCCGGTTTCTCGCCTCTTTTCATCATCATAACAAACACACCTTGTGCTTCTAAGATCCTTCCTTCTTTACATAGTGCATCAATCAATATGTTAAATGTAAAGTCATCCATTTCAACGTTTTCCCGCACCATTCTCGTTAGTAACTGGGTTACATCTTGCCATCGACCCAGACTGCAACAACCACGAATTAAAGAGTTGTACGTGACAACATCAAGTAAAACTCCCTTATCAGCCATCCGAGAACACAAACTAAGCGCATCCGTGACAAGTCCATCTTTGCATAGTCCATCAATGACTGCACTATACATTACTAGATTCGGTTCAACTGACCGTTCCTCCATCTCTTGTATCAAATGCAACGCAGCTCTAGTTTGCCCATTTTTACACAACCCATTGATTAAAATCCCATAAGTAAACTCATCAAAAAGATACCCTTGGGCTACTAGGTCTTGGTAAAAGTTCAAAGCTTTAAAAATCATCCCATTCATACAAAAACCATTAATAATTGTATTAAAAGTCACCATGTTAGGTTCATAGCCACTCTTAAGAATGGTACCCAATAACGAAAAAGCAAAACCCATATGAGATTGATGACAAAAACAGTTAATCAAGATGCTGAAAGTAGCAATGGAAGGTGAAATTCCCCTAAGTTGAAACTGCGAAAAAAGAGAAATTGCAGTGGGATAATGACCCATCCTCACAATAGCGCCTAAAACCTTGTCAAATTCACAAGTGGGTGGCGGAGAAAGTGCGCGAATCAAGCAATTGAAACGAGTAACAGCAGCATCTACATTATGAAACCCAGAACTTTTTCTACCATAGTGGCGTTGCAAATGACTGAAGAAGCGATAAAGAAACAATGTAGAAGAAGTTAGAATAGGATTAGGAGAGAATTTGGGAATGGCGTACCTTGGATTTAGCATCATCAATTGCAAAAACCAATAGAGTGAGGTGATTTCACACTCAAGATTCGTTCCGTTCCTCTCTCGTTTTCTTCTTCAACTGCGGAACGAAAAGCTCTTGTTGTCACTGTGTGTTGCAGCAAGGGTGGTGTGTGGTTTTTCTCTTTAAATCAGAACCATTCTTCATTAAAAAATGATAATAATGCAAGGTGAATGCAAATATGATGCTGCCTAGGGTTTATGTTTTGATTCTTTTCAGTCTCCACCTCTAACATCAGCTCATGCTTTGTGGCAAGATTTTTGTGTATTTCTATGTTTTTAGAAGAAAATATATATATTATTTGAAATATTTTATTTGTTTTTTTATAAATATAATATAATAATGGACTATATTTATGTATTTCTATGTTTTGAAAAAAAAAACATAAAGATGAATGTTTGTGATTGGTCGACACTCTTCTAAAGAAATGGTTTATTTGCAAACACTTTACACTCTTAGAATTATGGATCTAAGGAGATTTAAGATCTAAACACAATGTATTAGTTTTCTACCATTTTGTTTGATTTTATAGTAAGATGATTGAGGTTTTAGGAGAACAAATCATAGAAGGACAATTGATTCCTTTCGACAGTTATGGATAAATCATGGTATGCTCTTAATCATATGGTCTTTACTTGACCTCAATTATATTCTAATGCATCTTTATAGTGTCTTTATGTGATTGTCCACAATTAGATCAATGGCTTGGGATAACCCAATTTGTTGATGGATTGGTCTTAGCTCAGTCTAAAACTGATGTCCCTAAATTGTTATTTTAGTGATTTAGATCAGGGTCTGAGATTGGACCACGCCATTATATTAGAAAATGAGCAAATATGCTTTCATTGGACCTTGAGTGGCGTGACCAGAGTTTTATCAAATAGATCTAGATATGACATTTGTAAGGCTCTTTGGGGCCTATTGATGGTCTTGATATATATGTTGCATTGACTTCTTCAACTAAAGTTGCGTGCTCACATTCTTGCTTTAATGGTGTTTTTGAGAAATATTCAAATATAAATATTGTGTTAGTGTGTTGACATTACAATGGTCTTAGTATTATTGAGGCATTTAATGTGAATGGCAATATTTTTTTTATTTAAGGTGACTATTGGATTGCCTTTGTTGGACATATGACCTACCTACATATGTAGTTGAGTGGTATATGATTTACATATGCATTGATATGGATAGATTTGTATCCAATGAATGACGTTTTTCTTATTTTAGACTTGTTATAACTGTTGGATAAAGGTATCTTTTCATTTTTTTGATAATCTGGAGTGTTCCTTTCGGATCGATTGCATTTATTCGATGAAAGATGATTATGTTTGGACCTCTCACAACTATTAGATGAAATAACTTTTTTGTCTTCCCATTTAATGCATTATATCACTTATAAAAGGGGAAAAGAGAATGGAGTTTGATTTTTACCTCTTTCAACCTTTCTTATGTTAATCCATTTTCTTTAACCTTCCTTACATTTATCCACTTCCTTCAACCTTCCTTCATTGTTGTGGAGTAAAAAAAGCTTCACATCCCATTTTCTTTTAAGAGTGTGAATCATGATCTTAGCCATTTTTTAGTGTTAATCTTTTTATTTTCTCACTTTCTATTAATATTATAATTATACTTTTCATTTTTCTTCATTTTGATCTGTTTTAGCATGTTTAGTTATTAGTTTATTTTCTTCTTTAGTTGTTACCCCCATTCACAAACCATGGTGGATACATACATTGTCCCCTAAAAATAAGTGTTTTATGGACCCTATGTCATAAGAGAATGATGATTTTATTATGTCAAAAGCATTTTGAAATGGTTGTCTTTACTCTTTCACACATAGGTGAAATAACGAATAATTGAGATTGGTCCTCATAGTCACTTTTCCTTTTAAGAAGACAAATATAAAATGGTAAAGTAAGTTAAATATCATTGAGAGTGATCGAGATTGATTTACTGAGTGGTTTTGTATCCATTTTGTTTTGGATTGGGTCTGCACTTGACCCAACTTCATACGAGACCCAATCCAACTATGATGCTCAAGGAGGCTTGCTGATCGAGCCTGCCCTCGACTATGTCGGGCATCAATCTTACCCTTCAGGAAAACGCGACTTCGCCATACAGGGATAAATCCAGGAATTGTAAGGAGGCTTGTCGCCAGTCACGAGGACCTCGCGAGCATCCTCCACTCTTCTCATCGACTAAGACAAGCCCTCCCAAACGACCTCACAGCTGGAGGGGAGGGCCCACGACAGACAGAAGGACATCGCAGATATCCTCCTCGTAGGGTTGACTCTCAACACCCCCGAATATCACAGATTCCTCTTAGTCCCGAAAAGACCACATCTATATCCTCCTGACAATTCTGGGGAGTCCATCAAGGTTGGGGACCACGTGATGACCCCCACTACGCACGTAGGATTTGGCAGTCTCCATTTTAGGCCTGCTTGCCCAACCCAGCGATGGGGACCTTAGCCTAGTGTTGGAGGCTATAAATACCCTCTCAATTGAGAGGGTCAGATATTCATTCTTTCATACTCACTCTCATACTTGCTCGCGCTGCTCTGAACCTTACTTTGGCATCAAAGTGTTTTGCAGGTATCCCATATCTCGTTTCCAACTGCTGCTCAACTCGTAGCTCGTAGGCTTTGACGATCCATTATGGTCAAGTACGATCAGTGGCGCCATCTATGGGAAACAAGCTTCCGTGTCTTTCATTTGCCCAAGACTAAAGCAACTCTCCAAATTCTTTGATTTTCATGGACGACCCAGCTGCCAACAATAACCTAAACGCCCATCTCGCTGAACCCAACAACAACATCGACGATAATGTGGGCAACAACAACAACAACGTGAACGACATCGACATGGCCGGTCTTGTGCAGAACTACATAGACAATGTGACCGCCTCTTCATCATCCCGCTCTCGGTCATACGAGGATGCCCATCTGCCCCAGAACTATAAGCCGAACATTTTCCAGGAGGTCCCTGTCCCCGCGGGCGCTGACGCCACGACCAAGGCTCTGTTCGCGGCCATTAACCAAACAAATTACTTAATCTTCTCTCAAGGTGAACGACTAAGGGTGCTCGAGGATTCTCGCCGAGCCCCCAGAAGATACAGAAGGCATGACACTCCACCTCACCGTCAGAATAAAGACCATCCTCAGTCTCCCCCGTAGAGACACAGACGAGACAGATCACGAAGCCACTCTACCCGACGGACTGGGCGATGTCTCGTGTTGGAGAGAACACTTCCCAAAGCTAACGAGAGATGTGGCTTCACCCCCGCGCGGGGAACAATGATCCCCTGAAAAATGAAACAGGGGAAATGGAGAAGCACAACCTCGGTCAAGGGACCCTCCTCGAGGCCAAGGCCAACACTACGACCACCATTACAACCGGTCCCCTTCCCACTCCCCTACAGGAGCGACGAAGACGACCCCTGCGGTCCCTTATCACAAGAAATCTTAAAGGCGCCCATCCCCAGGGGAATGGAGAAACCTCCCCAACTGAAGGAATATAACGACATTGTTGACCCTGTCGACCATATCGACGGGTTCGAGGCAATGCTCCACTATCATAACATCGGGGGACCGATAAAATGCGGTTTGTTCCCCATGACCTTGAGAAAGATTGCAATGGACTGGTACAAGAACCTCCCCCAAGGTCAATTACCTCCTGGAGAAACCTAAAGAACCAGTTCATCAACTCATTCACAACCTCTCATCGACATCCAAAGACCGAGGCTGCTCTCGAGGCTATCGTCCAAAGAAGTGACGAAACCCTCAGTGAGTACATAGATCGGTTCAACTGCGACGCCATTCAGGTCCCTTGTACTGATCACATGAAAAAATATTTACTCGAGAGAGGACTTTTCCCAGGCACGGAGTTCAGAAAGCCCATCGGCATTGAACCACCCTGGACTTTCGATGCTCTCCTCGAAAAAGCTAGGGCCTATATGGACTACAAGGAGAGGGAAGCGGCTAACAAAGCCCGCGACCCGAGGAATCTCAGATCGGCCAACACCCTGCGACACCAGGATGCAGGCTTACCTTGACAAACGGCCAATAAGAGAAGGGATGATAAACCGCGCGACCCTCGCGAGCATAGGGGACCCGTGGGGAGATTCATTGAATACATCCTGCTAATTGCTTCCCACAAGTGCATCCTGGAGGAGTGCTCCAATACTAACTTCAAGGATGGCGACGTCAGAAGTCCTCGATCTGCTCCTGCGAAGCCCGAAGCTGATAGGAGAAAATACTGTCAGTACCACTGGAGTCACGGGCACCTGACTGAAGATTGTGTCCACCTCAAAGACGCCATTGAAACCCTCATCAAGGGTGGCATACTCGAGTAATACCAATGCAATGACGCCCCTCGTCGAGATGCCCGCGAGACAAAAGAGGCCGAGTAGGAAACCCGACCATTAGATGAGGCGGCCCCCATCCAGATCACTTTCTCCGTAACAAGGCCCGAGGAATTCTACATCCTCGATAGATACGACGAATAACCTCTGTCCATGCACATCAGGTGGGATAAATTCCCCTCCGCCATGTTATAACCGGTGGGGGATTCAACGACCTCTCCATATACTCCACAAAAAGGAAGCTCGAAGAGTTGGTCGACGCAACCCTGAATCAAGCGGTGACACTCGAAAGGTTCAAAGGCAAATCAAAACAAATCACCTTCTACCTTGAGGAGTTGCCCAAAGGGCCTCTAACTCGAGCATCCCTCTACTGGTAAGGGCAAGAATGGCTAATTTTGACGTTCATCGCATCTTAGTCGACGAGGGAAGTTCCACCGACATCATGTACAACCATATGTTCTGAACCTTGCAGCTGGACGACACCCACCTTTCACCATACATGGGGTCCGACCTGCAAGGGTTCAATGGCTCGACCTCGAAACCTTGGGGATACATTGAGTTTTTCGTCACGTTCGGGGAAGAAACTGCCTCCCAGCAAATCAAGGTGTGATTTTTGGT